CAGGAAAGGTTATAGTACCATCGATCACCTTCAGGCTATACGCACGCTGGTGGAGAGATGCACGGAATATAATATTCCGCTTAATATGGCATATGTGGACTACCAGAAGGCATTAGACTCAGTGGAGACTTGGGTGATAATGGAGGCAATGGATTTGGCGAGAGTCGACTCAAGATACTCGAACCTTATAAAATACATCTATAGACCAGCCACACTGGAAGTCAAAATCAACGATGACATGTGCACCGAAAAGGTTCAAGTGAGGAGAGGAGTTAGGCAGGGTGACACAATTTCCCCGAAATTGTTCACTCTGGCACTTGAATACGTTTTTAAAGGGCTGTCTTGGAAGAGGAAGGGAGTGGCGGTTGACGATACATATCTGAGTCATCTGCGCTTCGCGGACGACATTGTCCTATTCAGTAGCGATGCTGCAGAGTTGGAAGGGATGTTACAAGAGCTGATTTGTGCATCCAGACAGGTGGGCCTAAGTATGAATTTACAAAAGACCAAGATCATGTCCTCTAAAAACATAAAAATGATCATCGATAAAGTAACCATCCAAAATGTAGAGGAATATGTGTATTTGGGCCATACCATCAAACTGGGCAAACAAAACCAGGCGGAGATTGCAAGACGGGTCAGTTTTAGTTGGGCAGCTTTTGGTAAGTTAAGGTATATTATCAAAGACCTTAAAATTCCCATAAACCTCAAGCAAAAAGTATATAGGTCATGCATACTGCCGGTGACAACTTACGGCCTGGAAACTATGACACTGACCCAGCGCAGTGCAAATTCACTTAGGGTATGCCAAAGAGCAATGGAAAGATCAATGTTAGGGATTAGTCTTAGAGACAGGGTGAGAAATGATATCATAAGATCGAAGACAGGAGTCCCCGACATCGTCGGACAAATAGCAGCGCTGAAATGGAGATGAGCAGGCCATGTGGCCAGGTGTAGGGGTGAAAGGTGGAATAAACGTCTGGTGTGTTGGAGACCGAGGGCGTCGACAAGAAGCGTGGGTCGACCGCAATCACTCTGGCACGACGACATTAGAAGGCACGCAGGATCGAATTGGTTACGGGTGGCTCAGGAAAGGGAGACATGGAAGGAAATAGAAGAGGCCTATGTCCAGGAGTGGACTGCGCAAGGCTGAGAAGAAGAAGAAGAAGAAGAAGATTTGCACTCTGGATTGAGCTTGGGAGCTCTGAGAAAGGCTAGTTCGTTAGAGGGAGAATATTTTTTCAGTAGAGCGTCTCGTTGATCGGCTGGCAAGCCCTTGAGGATAAGATCCTGCCAATTCTGTGTAACGATTTCATTCCAAGGTCGAGCATCTGTGTCTTCCGGTCTCGGGCCGAAAAGTTTCCACGAGAGAGTGTCCGCCGAGATCTCGCCTAAGTCCCCGGACGCCGGGGCGTCGGATTGTGTCAATCCCGCCGGTTCAACCGGCGAAGGGCTAAGGACAGAGCCCCTATTAGATGGGATGCCTATTGTCTCTGTAAGCCAAGAAAAGATATTCCGATTAGTCGGAAAGAATTGTATCGATTCCTGTAAATATTCGTACACACTTGTCACTGTAGAGCAAGAAAAAATATTCCGATTAGTCGGAAAAGGTTGTGTCGATTCCTGTGGATATTCGTACACACCTGAGACGTGCGAGGGACTCAATTTCTGGTCTATGTTAGTACCCTCTGAAGAAATTTCTTCCATCAATGCTTCTCGAGAACGAGAAGAGCCGGGTAAGGAGGGGGAGGGGGCCTGGGGCGCCCTAACCTGCCTTACTGTTATCACGTCGATGAGACGAGACATCTTCTCCTCAAGCGACGATAGACGATCCTCCGTTGAGGAGTGCTTTCTCTTTCTCGATTTGTGAGCGGATTTACCCATTTTGCTAGAAAGGAACACTAAAAAAACACCTAAATTTTTCACTAGTAAACACACTTCAAGGGAACGCAGAACAGGAAAAACAATGAGACATTTAGGTGCGCGCCACGCAACTTGGACGCAACGCGACGCGCGCGTTTTTTCTCTTTAAAACGCCTGTTAAGGAGCGTGCGGAAAGCGCACTACATATATATCCATCCGGACAAGACGTTGCATAATTATTTTCAGACCGGAACTAAAAATTTTTAAATTTATTTATCTATATATCTACGTATCGTGTATGCATGTATAAGTTAAAAAATTAATTTAAAAACCCTACATTAAATATTATAGTTTCTAAAATAGTATTCTCTATCTATGAGGGGTGGTTTCACCCCTTAGAATCGTTTTTTGGGCCCCAACTGAAAATTTCTAAATTCATCTGTTTACCTCCTCTACATATGTGGAAAGTTTCATTAAGATCAGAATTTTCGGGTTCGTGAGATTCCCTTGTTAGTACACGGGCAAAGAAGAGTAGTGATATTAGACGGATTCTAACACAGAGGCTTCGCGGGGGTTGGTAAGGGGGACCGCGGCGCGGGGGAATGACGTCATGCGAGTAAAGGAAGGTCCGTGCTAGGGTCCGCGAGGAGTCAAGCAGGGACCAGCGGCGAAGAGCAACGAGGGAGGCAGGAAGATGCCGAAGAAGCCAGCTCCGACAGGAGCAAAAGTCAAGAGAGGTGGTCTCGAGGGGGAGAGCAAATCATCTTCAACATGAATGCTCTCCTCCTCCAGGCCAATTTAAACCACTCCGCCAGGGCACAAGACCTGCTTATGCAACACCTGGCGGAGTGGAATATTGATCTGGCAGTGGTGACGGAGCCCTATCGTGTCCTGCAAAGAGACAACTGGGCAGGAGACGATCAGGGCTCTGTCACCATAATTGGGAAATCTGAGAGGGGAGCCCTCCCCCTTTCCCTAGTAGGAAAAGGCGAGGGCTATATTTTTGTTAAGTAGGGGGAAATTGTTGTGGGGGGGGGTGTACTTCTCTCCAAACAGGGACCGCGCCCAGTTTGAGACCTACCTGGATAGGTTGACGGCCGAAGTGCGCCGCCACCTTCCGGGGAGAGTTCTGGTCATGGGGGACCTTAACGCGAAATCTGACGCGTGGGGTTCCCCCGTGACCAATGCGAGAAGCGTGGTCCTGGAGGAATGGGGGGCTCAACTGGACCTTCTGGTGTTAAACAGAGGGTCCGAGTTCACATGCGTGCGGCACAACGGGGGATCCGTGATTGACGTCACTTGGGGATCCCCTCGAGCCGCGCGCATGGTGAATGGCTGGCGAGTCATGGTGGGGTCGGAGAGTCTATCTGATCATAGATACATTAGAATGCAAATCTCCGACCCTTCCGGTGGACGCCAGCCACCCCCCAGGAGGGGGGGAGAGGTATACCTCCACCCCCCAGATGGGCGCTTAGGCGCATGGACAAGGACGCCCTGATGGCGGCCGCCGTGGCAAAAGCGTGGGAGGATAGTCCCACGCTTGACGCCTGCGATCCTAATGAGGAGGCGGCCTGGTTCCGTTCGGCAATGGCAGAGATTTGTGACGCTGCCATGCCGAGGAGCCAGGCCAACAACAAGAGGAGGGGGGTGTACTGGTGGTCTCAGGAGATCGCGTGGATGCGAGCCGTTTGCATCCGGACGAGACACCGGTACACCCGTCTTAGGCGCAGGCGTCATACCAACGAAGAGGCGGCCGAGCTGCTGGAGGACTACAAGTCGGCAAAGAAAACCCTCCAGCGGGCCATCAGGGAGGCCAAATCCCGGGCCTGGGACGAGTTCCTGGAGACCCTCAACAAGGATCCGTGGGGAAGCCATACCGGATTGTAAGGAAGAAACTGCAGTCCGGGGGGCCTCCCACCACAGAGGGTCTCCCACCGGTATTATTAGAGGAGGTAATCACCACCCTCTTCCCCCCAGATGAAGCGGAGGAAGAGGGTGGTGACAGACCCCGGGGTCCTACGATCCAAAATGATTGGAGCGAGGACATCGGGGTCACAGGTAGAGAGCTCGTCCGAGCAATTGGGCGGCTCCGGGCGAAGAACACCGCCCCGGGGCCGGACGGAATTCCCGGGAAGGCCTGGGTTTTGGCCCTCAACGTCTTGGGGGGAGACTGAGGCAGCTGTTTGACAGCTGCCTCAAGAAGGGCCAATTTCCGTCCATATGGAAGGACGCGAAATTGGTCCTTCTACGAAAGGAGGGGCGCCCCGCAGAATCCCCTGCGGCGTACCGCCCCATTTGCTTGTTGGATGAGGCGGGCAAGCTTTTCGAAAGAGTGATAGCTGCCCGCCTCAGAGAACATCTGTCCGGGGTGGGACCCGATCTCTCCGAATGTCAATACGGATTCCGAGAGGGCAGATCGACGATAGATGCTATTAAGCATGTCAAAGCCCTTTCGGATGAAGTTGTGTGGGGGGGGGGCGGTGTGTTGATCGCGACGAGCTTGGACATCTCGAACGCGTTCAACACGCTGCCTTGGAGACATATACGTGAGGCACTCCAATACCACGGGGTGCCTCGCTACTTAGAGGAGGTGATCGGGGACTACCTTAAGGACAGGTGGATCTCGTACACGGGGCGGTACCAAGTGCCGCACAAGAAGAAAATTAATAGGGGGGTTCCACAGGGGTCGGTCCTGGGACCGCTCCTGTGGAACATCGGGTATGACTGGGTTCTGCGGGGCGCACTTCTCCCGGGCGTGCACCTTGTGTGTTATGCCGACGACACACTGGTGCTTGCCCGGGGGAAGGATTGGGGGGAAGCTCGACGCTTATCGGCAGTGGGCGTCGAGCTTGTTATAGGCAAGATCTGCGCCTTGGGACTGAGCGTGGCCCTCCAGAAGACCGAGTGTATTCACTTTAACGGTCCTAGGGGGGGCCACCTCAGTCCTACATGAAGTAGAGGGAGTTCAGGTGGAGGTGAAGCACCATATTAAATACTTGGGGCTCACCCTCCACAGTCGCTGGGGCTGGGTGGAACATTTCCGTCGCCTTGCCCCCCGAGTAAGGGCGGCAATCAACTCAATTGGCTGCTTGCTGCCCAACATCGGGGGGCCCAAGGAAAAGATGCGCCGCCTCTACATGGGGGCGGTCGGATCCATGGCGCTCTACGGAGCGTCAGTGTGGGCGGGCGGCCTGAGGGCGCAAAGTCAGAAGCTTCTGCTGAGTTTACAGCGGAAGCTAGCCATCAGGCTCGTCCGCGGATACCGGACGCTCCCATTGGAGGCGGCTTTGGCGGTGTCAGGGTCCATTCCCTGGGACCTGCTGGCGGGGGCGTACAAACAAATGTACGATCGAAAGGATGACCTCCGCCGGCGGGGTCGCATCATGACACCGAAGGCGATGGAGGCGGCCCGCCGTCTGACTAAACACCAGGCGGTGGAGAAATGGTCGGAGGCTCTCCTCCGACCAAGAGCCGGACTGCGGGCCGTCCAGGCCATCCAGCCAGTACTTCAGGAGTGGCTGTCGAGAAAGCCCGGACTCTCATATAGAGTCGTGCAGGTGCTCACCGGGCACGGGTGCTTCGGAGAGTACCTGCACGACAAGGTGCGGAGGGAGCCATCGCGGAGATGCCACCACTGTACGGAGGTCAGGGACACGGCGCAACACACGGTCGAACATTGCTCAGCTTGGGCAGACCAGCGCCGTGCCCTGACCAACGTCATCGGGGGGGACCTTGGGCTTCCCAGTATGGTCAAGGCCATGCTGGAAAGCCCACTTAAATGGGAGGCGGTCGCCTCCTTCTGTGAGGACGTCCTCACGCGGAAGAAGGCGGCCGAAAGAGAGAGAGAGGCCGACCCTGATGCGCCCCCAATGCGGCGCAAGAGGCCTACGAGGGAGAAGGTTTGCCGCCCAGGCGGCGAGAGATTGAGAAGATCGAGGAGGGGGCGGGATAGGGGAGAGGAAACTTGCTCTCTCTCCCCGATCCCGCTCGATAGAGGTGAGAAGGAGGACTCCTTCGGGGACCAAGGCCGAATCCCAACCCATTCTGGGGAAGGAGAGAGCCCGGTCCCCGAAGGAGAAACACCAACGGGAGAGGCGGAACGGAGGGGACGCTTGAGCCCACCCTAAGGGTGGGATCGCGTCCTTTCCCTTCCGCTGGGGGAGATTGCCTCCAAGGAGGGAGTTTCCCGGGAGAGGTCCCGGGTGTCTGGCGCCGGATCCTAACCCCCTTCGGAGGCGGAAGGGGCGCCAACACCCGAGACAGGAGAGCCGCAGAACTCAAAGGGCGGGGGCCCTTCGAGTTCATTGCACGCGACTCTCCACGGAAGGGAGAGGAGTGGTGGTGGTCCCCACTCCTCTCCGCCTGGCGGGCTTGCCCGCCAAACGGGAGGGGCGCACCCGAAAGGGGTGCGTCACGGCGCTTCGGAAACCCCGATTGCATGCGAAAGCGATTCCCGGGGTTTCCGAGTAGCGCCAGGAGGACCACCGACTGGTTTAGCGGGTCGGGAGTTGGGCCCTCAGCCCTCTCCCATTCCCGCATAACCCAAAGCCTCCCCCGAGGCGGCGGGTATGTGTATACACATTCCAGTCGTAAAAAAAAAAAAAAAAAAAAAAAGGGTCCGCGAGGAGTCCGCCGGGAAGCGTCCGCGAAGTTAGGGTCTACGGGGAGGGGTCCGCGGAGAAGAATCTGCGGGCGAGAGGTCCACGGAGAAGGGAGAAGCGTCTGCGAGGAATCCGTGGGGAAGGGGAAAGCGTCCGCGAAGAGAGCGCAGCGAGGGAGCATCAACGAGAGCACAGCGAGAGCGCACGCAAGAAAGAGAAAGAATGTGAAAAGAGAGAGAAAGAGATATGAGACGCACGCAATAGGTAACGCGGTGAAGGAGAGCGCAAAGAAAGGGAAAGAGATACCCTGGCGAAAATAATATGTTTATTAAAAATTTACAAAGAGTTTGTTTAAATGTTAAGTAAATATTTTATTTGAATTTTAAAACATTCATTAAATTGTTTATAAGATGTAAATTTAAACATGGAATTGTTTGTTAAATGTTCATGGTTAACGTTTGATAGGCGTTCGGAAAGTGTTGTGTGATGTTTTCGGAGTGTTGTATATGTTCAGGATGTGTTTTAAGCAGCAATTCATAATTGTGTTAATTAAGTGTTTTCTTATTATTGTTGAGATGTTTGTAAAGTGTTCCAACTGTTTCACAAAAATTTTCAAACAACTCAGTAATAGTTTACAAAGTGTTTTGAAAGTGTCCGTGTGTCAGTGATGAGATGTTTGTTCAATGTTTTTTCACACTTTTTTATTGTTTATTTTGTTGTTAACGATTAGTTTTTCTAATTAATTCCATTATGAGGAACAATATAGATCAATTATAGATTTCAGTCTAATCTTACTGATTAAACTGACATTTATAATCGATCTATACTGTTCCTAATAATGGAATTAATTGGGAAGATTAATTTATCAAAGCAAAGATCAATTAATCCAAAATTTTGATATGATTCTAATTTCTTCTGCATATTATTACACAAGTACCATATACATATTATTATACAAGTTTCTTAGATGTGAATTTTATTTCTATTTATGGATAAACTTAACACAATCAGTCTAGTCATAAAATAGAAATAGAATTTCACATCTAAAAAATTTGCTCTAAACAATATGCAATTAGAGAATACACTAGAATCATATATAAATTCCGCATTATATATGTATATGTAATTGATTTTTTTATCTTTTAGTCATCAATATTGCAAATATTAAGAAAATATTTAAAAATGTATAGATTTACAGTTAAGATTTTGAAACTACACGTTTTTATTGTAAATTATTTTTTTACAGTTTTATACATTTCTTTTTTTTCAAAATTATATTTATTACTTACATATATTTTAGTTTTAAAATTATTTGCTTCTTAAGGTTCCTGGGTGCTTATGGCGGTCATATTGGATTGTGACATCAGAGGCGAGAAAATACACACTGAGATTTCTGAGATGCCATCTCAAAATAAAAAAATATTTCGATGAAACGGCACTTTAGATGGCTTTGGCACACTTTTAAAAAAACTTTGAAAACTATTCTTTTCCCTTGACAGTCAATCAACAATAGTGAAATCATCGTGATCAGACTTTGACATGCGGAATGACTGCGCATGTGCAAAAATCAGACGAACTTAGCCCAGCAGATCATTACAGAAAGTGGCTTGAAAATTTTTCGATTGGGAATACTGAAGACGGTAAATACAGTTCTGCCCAAATAGAAGATTTGATCAATAGCCTCTTAACATATCTTTCGAAAAGGTGTATTGATATAAATAATGGATCACGTGTAAAAAAAAGCGATACCTGAAGTAAACGATTGCAACAAAGACAACCCAGACTGGGGCTTGTATTACGATCATTTTACAGCTGTTGATTGATTATAAAAGGAAAAAGATAGTTTTCGGAGTTTAGAGTGTGCCAAGCTATCTGAAGTGGTTTCATCGAAATATTTTTTATTTTGAAATGGCATCTAAAAAATCTCAGCGTGTTTTCTCGCCTCTGACGTCACGATTCTGACATGGTCGGCGAGGTACCAGGAGCCTTTACAACCTCAAAGTGTTATGCCCGATTTCTGGAAGATAAATAACTGTGATTAGAATTAATTTACACTATTTTTGCAAGTAAAAAACTAAATAAATTTACCAAAATTATTTGACATAGAAGTAGAAATAACTGGGACTGCTACTGGGCCCTGCGGCCCATTCCCGTACGTGTCATAGGGAATCTGCCAGCTTAAATAGTCAGTTTCCGGTGTGTTTAACTGCTGTTGGTTTTGTAACTGCTGTTGATTTTGTATCTGCTCTTGTAGTGGCTCTTGGTCAGGTTGCAATTGCTGGATTCTTATTGATGGCTGAAGTTGTTGCAAAGAGTCCTTTCTTTTATATTGTCTTTTCGAATCAGATCTTTGTTGCAATTGTTTACTAGAAGTATCGTTCTTTTTTATACGCGATCCGTTCATGTCAATACATCTTTTCGAAAGATATGTTGGGAAGCTATTGATCAAATCTTCGATTTGGGCAGAACTGTATTTACGATCTTCAGTACCCCCAATCGAAAAATTTTCAAACCACTTTCTGTAATGATCTGTGAATTATTAATATTAGATATTAAAACAATTGTCCAGAATATAAATAACATCATTCAACAAATTGTACATCTTACATTTGGCAACATTTACAAACGAATGTGAAAAGGATTCCAAGTCTGAGCTCCTAGGCTTCCCATATCTCATATTCCGGGCCTTATCACCGTAGATTCCGGTAAGGAATGCTACAGCCCAATCAGAATGTTCCTTAACCGTACTCAGAACATGATAGGCATATTTGGAACACATAATTCCCTCACCAAGATGTACCTGAGGAAGTAGCAATGAGTTAGTAAAAATTGACAGCACAATTCACAAAAAAGTATTAGCCTGTATTCCATTTTTATCCGAGAAAAAATTAAAAGAAATAATACCTTTTCCTCCGATTCAAAAGCCATACTGCTTGAAGTGAGTGTAGAAGGCACATGTATTTCTGGAAAAAAATTAATTATAGGTAAATATTATAGGTAAATATTAATATAGGTAAATATTAATTATAGATGACGTACTCATTATGTTCTCGATATTTGATATTTTTTGGTTAAGTTGATCAACGCTTTCTCCAATCATATCTTTAATTACTTTAATTTTCTTCTCTAAATTTTTTTCCAATCTTTCTTCTAATTTCATCATTTTCTTATCAAAAATCCTCTCTATATGCTCAACTTGCTGATTGTTAGCAAAAGAAATTTCATCTTTTTTTTTCAGCTCAGCCTTTAATTGCTGAATTTGTTCTAGAAGAGATTTCGTCTCGATCGAATCTCTGTTAACAAATTCATAGTTTTCACTCTCTGCTTGAGTATTATCTCCATCATATCTTTTGCTTTTTTTCTTTTTTTTTCTACAATAAACAAAAAATTAATAATAAATGTTTTATTCACATTTAACATTAAATTTTCCTATGAGACTTACTTTCGCTGGTTTAATTGAAACATTTGTTTCGGGAATTTTTTCTTGCAATAAATTATTCTCAATAAATAATTCGAATTCCTTATTTGAGGCACATTATTTTCTTTTTTTCGTGATTTTCTGTACACCGAAATAAAAACATAACTTAATGAAGGTAAAACGATTTTTAAATAATAAATGAAAGATTTATACTGACCTCTTGATCTTTATTTTTTTTGACAAAATAATTTACTTGCTCGTTCTTTTCCTGATCTTCTACTCCCGTGGATTCAGGTTCTTCATCGTCAATTTGCAGGTCTGGCCATCTAGGTCTCACATTATCCAGGGCTTCTAAAGACTCTGAATTAAACACATTAAAACATAATAAAGTGTGTAAAGCGTTTTCCATTCTTGTTAGCATCTTACACACTAAGTTTTGATAATAGATAAAAGCTGCCGATACTGTTATCGTCTCAAGACTTAGATTAATTTAAAGTTATATTTGTCATAGAATGTTGCAAATCGTAACGTGTGCGCAATGTCGTAATATTTTAACTAAATAATGTTCTAAATCATACTATAAAAAAACCAACAATATTACTCAACATATTACCAACAATTACTCAATGATTTTTATAGACTAATTAGACAAAAATCAGATAATTTTATTTAATTATAAAAAACCAGGGTTGGAAAAGTTACTTTGTAAAAATAATTAGTTACAGTTACAGTTATTTTATTGAAAAAGTAACTAGTTACAGTTACAAGTTACTGATTTTTAAAAATAACTCGTTACAGTTACAGTTACTCAAAAAGTAACGAGTCGTTACTTTTCAGTTACTTTTTAGAAATAATTATACATTATTTTAAATATAAGGAGCTTACATTTTATGCACAATCACAGTCAAGTATTTAAAAAAATTCTTGAATGTAATATTGATCGATTTGGTTGCGACTTTGCGATTACCATCAATGTATGAATGACCTTTATATACAACAGTAAAAATAGTTATAGTAACTTACTAAATGGTAATCGCAAAGTCGCAAGCAAATCGATCAATTATTACATTTAAGAATTTTTTTAAATACTTGACTGTGATTGGTCGAT